TGTGAGATGGGATCTTGCAGTGTTGTTTAGACTGGCCCCAAACTCCTACGCTCAAATGATCTTCCTAATTCAGCTTCCAGGTAGCTGAGACTTATATAGTATATTTTTACATTTTTAATTTTAAATTTTAAATAGTATATATTTCTGTCTTGATAGAATACATTTTTTGGATTTAAATAACTAGAGTTGTAATGGTTTGGTTTTTTTCAGTGTTTGCATGTGTCAGCTAAAACTAGAATGTAAACCACTTGAGGGCAGGAACTTCATCTGATTTAAAAGTTTTGTCCCACGGGGTGCATTGATGCACATCTGTAATCCCAGTGCTTGGGAGGCTGAGACAGGAGGACTGCTTTGAGTTCAAGGTCAGCCTGAACTACACAGTGAGGCCCTGCCTATAAATAAATGAATAAATAATAGTTTTGTCATCAAATACTCCTGGAAAGCTTATTTAAAACATTAATAGTTAGGTCCTGTCCCAGAGAGCCGATTGAGTTGTAAAATGTCTGTATTTTTGCCAGTTCCTGGATGGTGTTCAGGGATAGGGTGTTAGTGTCTCCTGCAGAGCAAAAGGGAATTTCTATTTGTGTATGCAGTTACACACACACACACACACAGAGCAGGGGCTCCAGTAGACCTGAGGAGTGAGTCCTGGCCCTCAACTATTTTACAGAACTTAAAAGCATATCTAGCACTTGACATCAGTTAATGTAATACTTTTTTGTTGTTGTTTTGTTTTTTTGAGACAGGGTCTCACTGTGTAGTTGAGACTGACCTGGAACTCACTATGTAGCCCAGGCTGGTCTTGAACTCACAGCGATCCTCCTGCCTCAGCCTCCCTAGTGCTGGGATTATAGGCATGCACCACCATGCCTGGCTTAGTTAATGTAATACTGACATTAGTGTTATCTGAAAACTTTATTGTAGTTTTAGCCCCCAGAGCAAAAGTTTAGAGGCCTCCTAGGAGAGTGGACTGTAATGATTCTCAGCTTGATGGACATTGCAGCCAAGGGGTGACACTGAATGCAAAGAGTAAAGGATGTGAAATGTGGTAAAAAATATGGTGAATGTTTAAATTTTTTAAAATGATTACAGTATGCCAAGGATTCACATCAGTGGTTCTGCCACCTGCCTCACAAGCACAAGGACCTGAATTTGATCGCTGGTACCAAAAATGAAAAATAAAAATTATTACAGTAAAAGACGCATTGCCATTAATCCCCCTCAAAATACTGCCTCTCTCCTTGAACACACTCATACCACCATTCTTGCCACTTTCTGAAGGAGTTAACAGTTTAGGTTTACTGTAATTTATGTCAGATAAAAACATTACAACATGTCCTCAGCCCCCTTATTCACTAGATCTGGCACCGTGTAACTTCTGGCTCTTTCTCAAAGTCAAAAAGACCAGGAAAAGTAAACATTTTGAATCGATTCAGGACATCAAGCAGCCATGACATTGCTACTAAAGATACTTATGAAAGAGGACTTCTAGAACTGCTTCAGACAGTAGCAAGAATGATGTGTTAAGTGTGTTACAAAGGAAGAAGAGTATTTTGAAAAGCAGTCATAGCAACGTGTCCTTTTTCTATAATATTTTTTAAACTGTGCTGTGGCCTGAGCCTGAAGATGGCCTTTCACGTAATCCCTACTCCATTCCTCCTCCATAGATGGGAGAATTAAACAGTCTTTTTGACTAAGGTTGTAGACACTGGATGGCACAGCCCCAGGAGACAGTTATATTATGTATCCTTGTTCCTTTTCTGCACATGCTCCAATCGTGAGATAATCACATTCAGCCTAGCCCACATGGGCCACGTGGCACTAGTTACCCCACCTTCCCTCACTATAGAGCACACTGGACTCCAGGTGGCCATTAGCTCATCGGTCTATGGTCCCATCTGGTCCCAGCTATAAAGTTTAATCTTGGTATGTATCTTTCTTTCTTGTTATTCTTCAATTTTCTTCATTTCCCACTGCTCTCCCCAGCTTTGGACCTTACGCTGTGCCAGTGGCGGCAAAAATGTATGCATTTACTATGATTTTTTTAAAAATCACACTACATATTTTACTTACTTAGCATTAAAAACCTGATGTTTTTCCTGTGCCCTGCCCAGAGAATGGACGAAAGTTAGAATAAATCTCCCAGATCAAAGGATAAATGTCCAGAAAACAAATCATACCATAGGAAAAGATCTCCAGATCTTTTTGTGCATGTTCAGGATTGAACTGAAAGCCTCATGCATGGTAAACACGCATTCTAAAACTGAGCTACATTCCTCAGCCCAAGATATGCAGATCTGATAGCTGAGATCACCTGTTGAAATGGCCAGATTTCTGCATGGTCATCCAACAGAAGGCCATCATTAGCAAGCCCTTCCCACAGTTCCCCTCAGCCTGAGGACCTAACAGGAACAGAGATACAAGGACCCTGGGCACTTGGTGGAACCTTTTGCCATAAGCATGTCAAACTAAAAGCAAACACAAGCCTGTCCTGAAAGAATCATCAGTGCATGAAAAAGCTAGAGTTGATGGCTTCAGAGATAAGATCTTGCATTAATGAAAGAGGAAGCTTTAAAAGGAAAAATCTATATAAACAAAATTCCTCATTTTAAATGGCTTCAGAAATGAAAGGCCTGGAAGGAGAGATAAGGAAAAGTGGAAATACCCCAGAAAGTAAAAGACAATGATGGAAGACACCAAAATAAGATAATTGAGCTGGGCATGGTCGTGCATGGCTGTAATTCTAGCATTCTGAAGAGACTGAGATGGGAAGATCATAAATTCTAGCCAGCCTGGGGAATTTAGCAAACTAGAGAGACCCTACCTCAAAATTAAAAAAAAAAAAAAGGCTACAGATGTAGCTCTATGTGAAGGCCTTGGGTTCAATCCCAAAACTGCAAAAATAAACAAGACTCGGTTTCAGAGAGGTCTTCAACAGAAGTTCCAAAGATTTGATTTCTTAATTCCCTTGACCTATGTAGATTTGAGTAGTGGAGCCCTCTGATCTTGTCTTGTCTACACTCTTGTCTCTATCTTGGATAACAGGAGAGAACTTGGGACAGAGATTAAAATATGAGCCTCTAGCAGGGCCTGTTGGCTCACAGCACTTGGGAGGCTGAGGCAGGAGGATCATTGTGGGTTCGAGACCAGCCTGGGCTATGTAGTGAGTTCCAGGTCAGTCTCAACTACATAGTGAGACCCTGTCTCAAAAACAAAACAAAAAAAAACCAACCAACCAAACAAAAAAATATGAACCTCTGACTCAATGATTCCATTTGAACAGTTAAACTTGCTTAGTTTAACTATTTGCAAGGTTAACTACCTGCAAGTTAGGTCTTTCTGAGAGGTGCAACACCTAAGTAAACATCAGGAAAGGGAATAACATTGGTGAATAGACTTCAAGTCAGCAAATGTTTTATATAAAGAATCAGACAGTAATTGAGTGTGGTGGCACACATCTATAATCCCAGCACTCTTGGAAGGCTGAGGCGGGGGGGGCGGTCACAAGTTGGAGCTCAGTTGGGCAACTTAGTGATTTACCAAGACCTTGTCTGGATAGAAAAAAAATTTAAATGTCTAGGAATGTAACAAAGCCCCTTGTACTGGGGAGTGGGAGAATAACCAATAATAAATATTTTCAGGCTTTCAGGCCATATGGTCTCTGTCTACTCAATTCCGCCACTGTAAGAATAAGATGTGATCCAGAGAAAAGATCTAAACCAATGATCATGGCTGTGTTTCAATAAAACTTTATTTACAAAGTGTACAGTGGACCAAATTTGGCTTATAGGCCACAGTTTATGAATCATTGACTAAACTAGTGGTTTTAATAACTTTTGAGAGGATGTGGACAGTGGTATATATCAAACCCAGAGCCTCACACTTGCTAGGCAAGGCTGTTTCACTGAGCCACACCACCAGTCAGACCGGTGGCTGAAAGCATCAGCGTCACTTGGGAATACCTTAGAAATGTAGATTCTAAATTGGGTGCAGTGGTGCCTGCCTGTAATCCCAGCATCCTAAGAGGCTGAGACAAGAGGATCACAAATTGGAGGTTTTCAGGCTCCTCTCATACTGGGGAGCAGTCCTGTATAAAACATTCCCCAGAGGCAGAGGATGAACCTCAGATTTGAGTAAAGCACTGCCTTAAACCATTGATAATTACATAACAAATATCACGCTCAAGCTCTTTTGAAGGATTTTGAATTTCTAGGGAGGATATCATCTTAGAACTTGTCACAGTGTCAAGATACTAATTGCCAGAGGAAAGAAAGCTAAGCCATTACACTGTTCCTGGGGTACCAAGATATTTCAACTGCAAGTCTAAGCCGGTACAGATGACTATAGACCATTTGACACTGAAGTTGTTGTGTTAGAGGTGAAGGCCATGTGGTTTTAAGACATAAGGGGCTTAACTGAACTTTAATAGAGAAGTATGTTAGCTTTCTATCACTGTGTTAGCTTTCTATCACTGTGACAAATGCCTGAGGTAGTCAGTTTAGGATGAGGAAAGATTCATTTTGGCTCAGTTTCAGAAGTTTCAGTCCATGGTCTCTTGGCCCTGCTGCTTTAGGGCCTATGTTGAGGCAGCACATTGTGGTAGAAGGGCTTTGCATATGAAAACTGTTGACCTCACGGTGGCTGGGAAGCAAAGATAAAAAGCAGATGCCATGGTGCTAGTATCCCTTTCAAGGGCACAACCCCAATTACCTACTTCCTTTCACCTCCCAAAGGTCCCGCTGCCCCCAGTGGTGCTGCCACAGGCTAACAACAAACAACTGAGCCTCTATTTCATATAGGAGCTGTTGGGGGCCATTTAGGATCCAAACCATACAAGAGGTGAAAGTGCTCAACATTTTATTAAATTTTTAAAAAACTTACATTTGTGATACACTAAGAAATAGCAATGCTGCTTCTCAAAGGATGTATCCTTTAGCATTGAGTTATGGACTTAGAAGTTGTGAAACCTCTGCTATTTTCTCATGAAGAAATTCACGCATTTACAGACTTGGCTTTGGACTATGCGTGTCAGTATCTTCTTCCTTCAGGGAAGAACAGACATGGTTACAGCTCCAGGTCCCCTACATGTTGCTACTGCATATTTGACTCCATAACATCCAATGTGGACTAGAATTTGTTCTAAGTGGGACTTGAGCCCCTTCAGAGGAGAGGTAGAGGGAGTGGAGCATCAAAATATTTCTCAGAATGGACATTATTGCTGGGTGTGTGTGTGTGTGTGTGTGTGTGTGTGTGTGTGTTTGTGTGCGAGTGCACATGCACGTGTTAAAATATGCATAATAGAAATTAACCACCTTCACAGTTTCTAAGCAGATAGTTTGGAGACATTAAGAACATTCATATGGTTATACAGCTATCATAATCGTGCACCTCCAGAACCTTCTCATCTTGCAAAACTGAAGCTCTGTCCCCATCAAACATTAGCTGTCCCTTCCCCTCTTTACTCAGCCCCTTAAACCCACCATTCTATCTTGTCTCTGTGAGTTTGACTGAGGACCTCATAGAAGTAGAATCACACAATAGTTGTCCTTTTGTTACTCGTTACTGCCTTATTTGCAAATGTAGTTTTGACATACACAGACCACTGTCTTTACAGTGAATAAGGATATAATTAGTACAGCTCTTACTTCTGGATCAGAAGTCTTTAACCTGGAGCTCTTGCATGAACCCAGGAACTGAATATCCTTTTTGGGCCACATCTCCTATTGATGAGGTTTCCACAAGGACCATTAACCCAGAAGATGCTCATGACTGTACTGGGTCTTCTCTGCTTTGGGAGCATTCTATCAGGCTCAAATCAAGATTGGTCACCTCTAATTAACAACCATCACCCACCTGGTTAGATTGATTATATGATCCAATCATACAGTTTGCAGATGATTCAAGTTTGACACCAAACTGAAGTGTTTTGTTTGTTTGTTTGTTTTTTGGTGCAGGGGATTGAACTCAGGACCTTGTGCTTGTGAAGCAGGAGGTGGAACCACTGAACTAAATCCTTGGCCCATGTCACTCATTGTTTGAACTCCTAGTCCCAAGTTTGTCTGGCTAATTATGAATCTGATCTTGCCTTCTTCACATAAAAACATTTACTATGGTTTGGATATAGTTTGTGTGTGTCCTACTCTTCCCAAAGATTCATATGTTGGAACTCTGGTTCCCAATATGGCAGTGCCTAGGGGGTGGAATCTTTAGGGGGAGGGTCAAATACAAGGTGGTTGGATAACTGGAGGCCTCATCCTAGGGGGAGACTGATGTTCTTGAGGGACCCTGGTTAGTTTCCATGACAGTGAGTTCCTATCAAAAGAGCAAGTCTGGCCCCTCAATCTCTAGATCCTCAGTCTCACCACATGCCAGGTCCTACTCTTGTGCTCCCCAACAAGATGCTATCCACCATGTTGTAATGTAGCCAAGGGGGCCCTCACCAGAGACCAAATAGATGGAGCTGCCCAATCTTGGACCTTCAGCCTCTAAAACTGTGAGCTATATCACCTCTTCTCTTAGTACTCAGCTTTGGGAAATTTGTTACAACAGAAAATGATGAATGCAGTGTCTAATATAAATGCAGATCAAAGCCACATGACATCACTTCATATCCATTAGGATAACTATTATCAAAAAAATTAGAAAATACAAGCGTTGGCAAGGATGTGGAGAAATGGGGAACCTGTATAATGGGAAATAATGGTACATGCACTATGGAAAATAGTAGTGTGGTAGTTCTCCAAAAGTTATTAATGGAATCACCATATGATACAGAGATTCTACTTCTAGATAGATGTGATAGTGATATATATTTGAAAGAATGTACAGATATACAGTGGTACCTTGGTTCACAAATGCTTTCATTTGCAAATAATTTGGTTCTCAAACAGAAGCATTTGGCAAAATTTCGTTTTTGTTTGCAAACTCTACATCAGGTGACAAACACGACCACAGCTGTCTTTCCCACACAAACAAAGATGTGTCCACATTTTCAAAAATCATAGAACAAATTAAGTTTGTGAACCAAGGCACCATGTATATATGAAAGGATTGAAAGCAAATCCTCTGACAGGTATTTGTTCAATCATGTTCATTAGTGAGTGAACAAATATTAGCCGCATTATTTTTTTTATTAACAGCATTATTCACAATAGCTTCCACACTCAGAGGTTGCCCATTCAGCAGGGATGGCAGGGACATCCAGATAAATTCTGAGAAAGCTCAGGAGAACAGGGTCCTGGTGGTGGCCTGGGTGGGAGGGTCACCTACAGAGGTGGCCCCTAGGTTAGATGGCTACTTCTTTTCACTGGCAAGTCACTTACCTCACCAAAGTGGTTCTCAATGATTTGCAGAGCAGCCCATCTTATCTGAGAGTTCTCATGGTGTTGTAAAGCCTCAATTCTATCGATCCCACCAAGTTCTTCCACCAGAAGACACAAGCTTTTCTTATCACTCAGCTTCTGTGCAGCCTGGGAGCCACAAAAGAGACCATGAGACCCTGGGCAGTGCCTGGGGAGGCTGAACCTCCAGCAGCCCTCATGGGAGTGGGCCCCAGGGGGTTCAGACTCAAGGATCCTGGGGCAGCGGGGTGGGGGCTTATAAAATAAATATTTATATAAAAATGTATGTCTTTTTATTACACAAAATGCAATGTTCTGGCCTACTAGCTTCTAAAGCATTTGGGGGGGGGGCTGAACATAATACAACCCACCAATATACATATCTCTATTGCTATTTAGTAGATTCTCCCCTCTGATTCATGGAAGTTATTTTAAATGCAGTGAAGAAGAATGATTAACATTATAGAAATGTAGGCATTCTGTCCTGCCCTCCCTGGAAAGCCTTATGAACAAGTCAGGAGACCTTAGTCACAGAAGCTGCACGATGATGAAGAATTGAGTCCTGGGTACAAACAACCTGAGAACAATCCACTATGGATCACTGGCTTAATTTTTGGGCTATTTATTCATCCAAATGTTTGTCCACATTCTATGGGCAAGATGCTCAAAGATAGAGGTGCAGATGTGACTTAGAGAAAGTCTTTTCATAACTCAAAACTATTGGGAGCAATGAGTAAATAATTGCTATGGTATAGTTTTAAAATAACAGACAGTAAACTGTCAGAGGGCAGGCTTGAAGGTCTCACAGATCCTTAATGAAAGGTACTTGCCAGAGCAGGATAGCGGTTTTCCCAAAATAAGGGGCACTAAGGATGTTGAAGAAGTAGGTGTAGTGTATTGTAAGAGAGAGTAGTTGAGCTAAAACAGTGTAATGAGAGACATGGAGGGAGGGAGAGAGAGAGAGAGAGAGAGAGAGAGAGAGAGAGAGAGGGAGAGAGAGAGAGAAAGTACTATGGCATCACTATGGCATCATATCCTAAAGGGCTTTGTTATTTTTGTGTACAGTAACAAAAATCCTCTAGATCAAGTTAAACATAATCTATATGTCACATTGTTTAGCTTGAATCAGTGATGAAAGTTTGAGCTGCACATCTAAGCCTTGATATCTTCTAGTCCCATCCATTTTTCCAAAATGAGTCATTGGCCTGGAGTAAAGAAACCAAGACCAGAACTGAGGGCCTCAGTCAGCCTCACAAAGAAAACTGGGGGGCCAGGGATTTAGCTCAGTGGTTCCGCTGCCTAACTCGCAAGCACAAGGTCCTAAGTTTGATCTCCAGTACCAAAAAAGAAAAGAAATCTGGGAATTGGGGTATAAGCCAGGGCAGTAGGAGCCCTGAAAAAGGGTTTGGATTCTCATAGAACAGCAAGTGGCCCAGAAGTTGCTTTAGAGAACTTCAGTGGCACTCTGCTGCCCACCTGAGCACCATCAGGAGCTTCCTGCAACACCATCTTGATCTTCCTCCTTCATCCACTGAGCAGTGGTGGTGAACCTTTGCTGTGCATGCCATAGCGGCTATCATTTAAAGCTCTAAGAGGTTTGCCATCACTGATACAGGAGCTTCACTGGATCATCCAGTGTGATTTTCTCAGTCTTTCCCAAAACAAAAATCCCATCTCTAATTCAAGTGAAGCAGATGAAGTTACATTTCTATAGCCCAGACCCATGTTTTCACAAACTTCTCATGTCCCATCCTGTCTGCTAGCTGCTGAATCTCCATCTTTTATTGGTGTCATTTGCTCAAAGTCTCAGGCTGTAATTGGGCTGGGTTTCAAATCAGGTCTGTTCTTTCCAAGACAGTTACATGAAAAGAGTGTTCAAAATAGGCTTTTAGGTCCGGGGATTTAGCTCAGCGGTTCGGTGGCCTGCCTTGCAAGCGCAAGGACCCGAGTTCAATCCCCGGTACCAAAAACAAAAAAAACAAAAAAAAACAAAAAAAACCCCAAAAAACCCAACAACAAAATAGGCTTTTAAAGGGAATTCCCTGATGATACTTTGAAGCTTTTCAAGTGGCTTGGCTGCATGTAAAAGGAGCTTAATCAAATGGACATAGCCAGCCTCCAAGACGGCCCCTGATGATCCCTGACTCCAGATACTCATTCCTTGGTGTAGTTTCCCCTTAGCCTGAATAGGGCTGACCTGTGTAAGCCACAGGGTGCTGCCAAAATTACAGTGTCACCTCCCAGGCCAGGTCAAAAAAGACATTAGCACTTTCTTCAGAGGGTTCCTCCTTGGACAGGTCCCTGTGGCAGGGTAATGTGAGCCCACCTCCCCAAGCTGCTGAGTCAGCAGAATCCAGTTGCAAAGCTTTTAAAGATTCCTGGACCCAAAACTAAGATGCATATTTGTTTTAAATCACAAAGAGATGATTTCCTATGCATCCACACAGACCACACAGAAATAGTATCTGAATATTAGTTTAACTTCATTTCAGAACGGAGACATTTCCAGAATTCTAGTTCAGTGCTTTGTAATACTTTTCTCCAGTCACAGAGATGGATGGAGATGGAACTTTCTTATGGCCTCTCAGGACAGATCCCTGTTATCCTCTTGCTGCTCCTTCACAGATCTCCTGTGTTGCAGCCTTCTCAATGTGCACTGTTTGGAAGTGTCAGGGGCTTACTGACTCTTGTCTTCCTTAATACCTCTGTCAATTCCTCTGCCTCACTCAGAACAAGTCAGCCTCCTAACAGACCCTATGGGACCTGGCCTCTGGGTGCCTTCAGCCTGATCTCCCACCACGTTCCACCACTTTGCTCTGGCCACACACCCCTTTTACTAGTCCTTTTGTCTAGAATGTTCTCCAGATAGCTACAAGACTCACTCTCTCAACTGGCATGCTGGCACACACTTGAAAGCTCAGCACTCTGGGAAGTTGGGGCAGGAGGATCACCAGTTCCAGCCCCGCCTGGGCAACTCGGCAATTTAGCAGCTTAGTGAGACCCCATCCTAAATTTAAAATAAAACAAAACAAAAATACTAAGAAGAGAGCTGGGGAGGTTTCAGTCCTCAGTACCATCACCAAAATAAAAAAAAAGACTCACTCTTTCCAACCTCTGCTCAACTGTTCCTCTTCAGAGAATATTCCCTTTCCTGATTACTGCATATACACTGCCATGTCTACTCCTCATCCTGCATGATTACTGACCACCTTTTTGTTCAGTATTGAGGATCAAATCTAGAGCCTTTGCTCTGTGCTACACCCCTGGCCCTTTTAATTTTTTATTGAGACAGGGTCTCACTAAGTTGCTAAGTTACCCAGGCTGGGTTCAAATTTGTGATCCTCCTGCCTCAGCCTCCCAGATGCTGGGATTATATGTGTGTGTGTCACCTTGCCTGGCTAGTGACTACCTTTTATTTGATTTACTTTATCCAGTACCCCCTCCCTGATGTGTCTTTCCCCACCCCACCAACACATATGCTCCACTAAAATAAGAGTTTTGTGCTGGACTATTCTGAGCATGCAGAAGTGTGCCTGACACCGAGACCTCACTTGAGAAAATGAAGGCATCAGTCCTTCTGTGAGATGCCTCTTTTTGTACTGCCCACAAGACATGAGGACAAGACAGAGGGTGAGGGGAGTGGAAAGGAAGCAGAATCCTACTTGGGTTTCAAGAACCAAATTAAATGTCTTAAATTACAGGCTGCTGTTTACAAACCAACCTATTGATAACAGCTCACCTGGAGAACATAAGAGATGACATTCAGGATGATAAGGATGATCTTCACATCTGGGACAGTGAGCAGACTCAACAGCGGCCCCAGGACTCCAAAGTGAACAAGCTGGAACAACTGGTCCGCAGAAGCCCCCATTGCGAGGTTAGCTACTGTCCAGACAGCTTCTTTCTGGACTTTGTATTCTCCCTGTGGAGACTCAGTGTTTACATTCACTACAGATCCTGAAGCACCTAAAAGTGTGCTGTCTTGACTCACTTTTGAGGCAGGTTGGGGATACTCAGGACTCTACAGGCAATTTCTGTAGTATGCCTTAGCTGCCTGCCTTCCCACTAACAAGACAGCATCTGAGAAGCCATGAAACCAGTGAAGCAGGCAGTGGGGGCTTAGAGAGAGGCTCTGAGATGAAGTAAACTCATTGCCCTATTTCAGCCTATGGGGAAAATACAACCGACATAAATTGATCTTATCTATATAGATTAGGAATTATGCTTGGAATTTTAGAGGATAGTGGCCTATATCTATATTTCTAATCTGACACAGTAAAACTTTGGGTAAATTATATAGCAGGGCATAGATGTGATCTCTAGTAGACTGAGACAGCCCAGAGATAACAGAGAAATATCACTGAAATATTGTTCAATGAATCCTTTACATTTATAAAAAAAAACACTTGGTGAGCCGGGATTTAGCTCAGTGGTTCCACTGCTTGCCTTGCAAGCACAGGGACCCAAGTTCGATCCCTGGTACCAATAAACAAACAAACAAACAAACACTTGGCCCAGACATGTAGGCATATTTTATCATGGGTCCTCCTACTGGCTGGGGAAAATTGGCCTCAGGGTAGAACAAAGACAAGAACAAATAACTTATGGCCTCAATCAAGTTCTAGTTCAAAAGACATGGTTTGAAATATGAGTACTACTTGATTTTATAACCGGATATTCCTTATTAGAACAAGTATATTCCTAGAAGAATATAGGCTAGAAAGTGCTGAAGAGACTGGAAAATGCCATAATTTGGGCTGCACACCTGTCCTGCTTTTTCTACCGGCCTCACACCTGGAAACCTGACATCCAACCTCAGAACAGAGAAGCCAGTAGCTTCTCGTCCTTGGGCCCTATCACCTTCCTACCACCCACAGTCCAAGGTGACCGTCCATGACTGTAGGTGGTTTAATGGTAGCTCCTTCATTCAAAAGTGGCAAAAGAAGGTCTGGGATTTAGCTCAGTGGTTCTGCTGCCTGTTGCAAGCACTTGGTTTAATGGTAGCTCCTTCATTCAAAAGTGGCAAAAGAAGGTCTGGGATTTAGCTCAGTGGTTCTGCTGCCTGCCTTGCAAGCACAAGGACCAGAGTTCGATCCCTGATACAAAAAAAAAAAAAAACGTGGCAAAAGAAGATACTGACAGTAATTACTCCTAGGGAAAGGAAGTAGGTATCAGGAGGAGGAAGGAAGCTTTATTTTACTTTCACATTTGAATTTTTCATTTAGATTATCACTTTAATCAATTTCATCTATGCACTGAAAATGTCACTTTTTTTTTTTCATTGTATAATATCATGGTGGCCTGGTAAGTTTTTCCTACTAAAACAAAAATGAAATCTCCTTCCTCTTTTGATAGGTAGAGAACAGATGACACATTCTCTGACCGCCCCATTGACATAAGCCAGTATTTACCAGCTCAAGATTTTTCTGTGGGGGTCACCTGTTCGATGAACAATACTTGTTCAATGAGTTCTTCTGAATGGAGGTCTCTTAGTGTTCCTAGTCACAGCCAGGGACCTAAGGTTTCAGAGCTTTCTTGTGATCTCAATAAATTTGCTTCTTAGCCTGTGTCTAAATTCCTGAAGGAATTCGGGGACATGGAGGGTAACCTTTTGGTTGCAGAGTGTGCCACTTACATTTCTTAGCAGAGCCACCAAAGGAGGTATCAAATTATGAGTGATCAGCCCCTGGATGTGCTGGTGGGGTCCAGCAGCCACGTTGCTCAGGGCCCAGGTTGCCTCCTTCTGGATGGAGGACCTGGGGTGCTGTAGGAGCTGGGGCAGCACCTTCAGCATGCCTGCATCAATGGCCATTTGGGTCTGGTGATCCGTTCCTGTGACAATGTTCCCCACCGTGCGGAGAGAAGGGGTCTGGAAGAACATGGTTACAAGTCTAACTCAGTATCACAAATCTATCACAGTAAAAGGTGAAAATTGCACCTGGTTCTGGGCCCTGCTAAACATCATCTGTGCTGTGCTATTATTTTCCAGAACCATGAGAACCACAGTATTTTATCCACGATCCTTATTGAGTCAACACACTGTGTTCCTAGTACTTGTGTCAAGGTACTTGCCAGATTCCCAAAAGCTCTGGTGTAGGTGGTAGAGAATTCAAGGGATAACTTCATCAGGAAATAAGCTGGGTGTGATGGCACAGGCCTATCATCCCAGCACTTGGGAGGCTGAGGCAGGAGGATCTCAAATCTGAGGCCAGTCTGGGCTATTTAGTGAGACTCTGTCTCAAACTAAACAAAACAACAACAAAAACAAAACAAAAAGAAATGCTTCTGTCCTTATTACATTCTTTCAACTGGGGAAAAAGCCAAATTGATTATAGTGTCTATCATGTCATAACTTTTACTGAATGTGTACTTAGCACTAGTGTCAAGCTTCTTTGTATTTTTAACTGGAATTAATGGTCCCAGTGGCCTTTCTTGGCACATTCATAAACCCCTTACAATAACTCTGAAGGTCACCAGGATATATTCAAGTTGGGCTTAAGGCAGCAAGCCACTGGGAGGATCTACTGTGGATTTATTTGGGTTTCTCTGTACTGTAGTGGCAGCTCCTGGAGAAGCCCACTCACAATTCTAGTTGCCCTAGCCTCTCTGGCTACATACTTGCTACTCAAGTGAGAGATGGAGACTGTACTATAGTGTAGTGTATAGTTGGTATTGCCTTTAATAACCTAGCAAAGTGTTGCATAATGATTTTACTTAATAATGGTTTACTTGCCTTTTTTTTTTTTTTTTGCCTGTATCTCGGTAATCTAAGAACAAACTGAAGAGAGTAAGGGGAAATTTTCTTTCATATTGTGTAAGAAATTCCAATGCTACAATGAGCTACACACACACACACACACACACACAAATTGGAAAATGCATGTGTGTGTGTAAGTCCACATGCAAAGACCACTAAAGGAAAAGATTAAGAGTGGTTCCCTGGGTGGTAGGATTATAAGCAATTTCCACTTGATAATTTTCTATATTTTTGGACATCAGATTAAGCATAAGTTATTTAACACCCACTAGGAGTTTCAATCAAAATAGATTTGAGTCCTTGGCCAAAAAAGTGGCAAAGACCAGGGAAACACAGATGGTAAATTGTGTTTCAGGTAAAGAATCAGAGCCAACTGTGAAGCCCTAGAGTCGGGGACAGAACCTGGTGAGGTGGATCTCTGACACACAGAATAATCTGAAAGGCCTCAGAGACAGACAGGACGGGGATGGTTATTTACCAAAACACTGAGTTCCACACTAGTTAGGAGCTCCACCAGCCTGGGCAGGACTCCTGTGTCAAGTACCAGGGTGATGCGCTCACTGCAGGCATCCGTGAGGTAGGACAAGGCCCAGCAGGTGTCTGAGAGAATCTCACTGTCCTGGTACTGGAGGAGGTGAGAGAGGACAGGCAGAATCTGCCTCACTGCCTCCTCGCAGGGGTATGGGTCCTTGCCTCGGCACAAGTTGGACAAGGTCCACGTGATGTTCCGTAGAAATGTGATCTGAAACAAAGAGATGGCTTTCAGCATCAGGTGGAAAGAAGATGCAAATGGCAGTGTGCCCTTCCTATCCCTGATCAATATTATTGATCAGCATGAACCAAAGTTTTTGAGCTGCAAATAGAAACTTGTTCTGGGCAGTGATATGTATTAGGGACGAAGAAGATGGGCTTTACATTTCATATTCAAATGTTAGATGGAGGCTTCTTTATTCTTCAGAATGTCTTTTCCTACTCTACTTGATTGATGACCTGATTTCATTTTCTCATTAACAAAAAGATTGAGCAGGAGTAACTTGGTCTTTTTGCTAGCCTATAACTCTATCAACATGTCCTAGTCATATTTCTGATCTTCTATTTAAGAATCAACCTTGCCACCCTCCCCTGGGTCCTATCACTTTATGTCCTTAGAGACTCTGTCCCTCCACCACTGCCATGACTATAGAAATGAACTCTGGGACTTTCAGCGGCTCCTTCTACCATTCCCTTAGCACCTCTCCAGCCACCACCCTAGTTCTGTTTCTGTTCTCTAGTCCTTTCTCAAGGACCTCTCTCTCCCTTCACCTCTGTTTCTCTGCATATGTCTGTTTCTCTTTCTATCTCTCCGGCCCTCTCTGTCCCTCTGTACCTCAGCCTTTCTGTCCCTATCTCTCTGGCAGTACTGGGGATTAAATCCACAGATGCTGTACCACTGAGCTACATCCCTAGTTCATTTGTTTGTTCATTCGTTTGATCTCCACCCCGCTTGCATATCTATAGTATCTAGCTCTATCATCTAGAGCTGTGGTGGCAATCCTACGGCACATATACCGTGGCACAGCGGGCTGTTATCACTGAAAGCTTCAAAAGGTTCACCATCACCGATCTAGAGAAAGGATCTTGCTAAGCTGCCCAGGCAGAACTAGAACTTGCAATCCTCCTGCCTCAACCTTTCTCAGGGCTAGGATTACAAGCATTCACCCTCATGCCTGGCTTTAAGGAAGCATCTTTATGCAATGCCTGCCCCGCAATTTCCTACTTGTTCTTTAAACCATCTTCACCTGGTGTCTGCCCCTACTTCCTTGTAGTTAGGAATGGAAACCAGATCCTTCCACATCCCCTGATTCAATGTTGCTTCTCAGTTCTAAAACTACTGTCACTCCCAGCTGTACTGAGCAGCCATCCACTCTCTTTTGAGAAAGCTTTTCTTGGTTGTCACATAAGACCTAGTTTTCTATTGCTGAATGAGCTGTTTCTTCTTCATCTTCTTGGTAGGCTCTCCTGACCTCTTAATATTACAGCCCTCAAGACTTCATCCTGGCCCTTCTCCCATTCTAGGTCAGGGACTGGAGAATGTCTGGCAAGGGCTGTGTAGTAAATATTTTCAGCCGTGTAACCCATATGGTTTCTTGTAACTACCCATAACACAGCGATGGCCACAGATGCTAGGTAAATAAATAGGTGTGACTATGGTCCAATAACATGTTATTTACAAAGCAAACAGCTGGTCAGGTTCAGTGTGTTGATTCCTGTTCTGGTTGACCTTGCCCAGCCGGATGACCCATGAACATTACAGTAACTGGACTGGCAGAGCCATCAACCTGCCATTTCTGTCATGGTGCCTCTAATGAACCCCAGCCTTTATAAAGGAAGATCTGATTCCCCTTTTCCTCCATCTTTCTCTTTCTCTATGAGGAGTGTCATCTCCACAATCTGTCCTGAAACCTGGCAGCATCCTTCCTTCATTTCCTTCCATGTCTGGCACAGCAGCCTCCCAGGGCACATTTCTGCTGGATCCCTCTGCTATAACCCTACCACAGGCAGCCAGAATGATCAGATCACCTCACTTCCTACCTGACATCCTCCAAAGGCTCCGTTTTGCCACCAGGATGATATCTAAGACCTTTGTCCTACTTCTCTCTCCTTACAAACTCCCTTGGTCTTGGTTAGCCCTTTTTGGTTCAAGCATGCCTGGTATTCTCCCACATAGGGTTTGGAATTTATTCCCTTGGCTTCTCTTCATCTCTTAAGGCAAATCTAGAACCCAATTCCTAAACCAGGGTGTCCTGTATTGCTACCTCAACATTTATCATCTAAGCTTCAAACTTAGACCCTGTTTCTCAGGAACAGAACTAGAAAGCCATTATGTCTGTCTTTGCCCTTTGGATAGAGATCTATGTTGGCAGGATGGTAAGCCTTGAAAATTTTTAATGGACTTCTGTTAATATCCCCAAGAGAAAGATTAGCACTTCTGGCCCATAAAGACAAATTTGGGTCAATCTTTACCCAAAATGATACCGTCCTAGACCTCTATCATAATGGGCCAGGCAGCAGCCACATGATCTAGCATTGATTTGGAAGTATTTCCTCCAATTTCTCAGCCTTCAGAATTTGTTACCTAGCTAGCTTTTCTAATTTAAAGACACTCACTGATATGGTTGATGAAATCAGGGCTGTCAGACGTGGGATGACATTGCTGGAGATAACAACATCTCTGAATTCTGGGCCATCACCTGCAAATAGGTCAGAACTTGACACTCAGAGAACAAAGACAATTATCTAAATGGGTGAGTAACTTTTAAAAGAAGTTTATGCAAAGGATGAGAGACTCATTCTTGGGGTTGTAGCAAGTAAATAGGAAAGCCATATACTAGAACCTGACTCTCCAAAGTGTCTGTTGGGTGGACATTCCTGATGTGACAAGCAGCTGCCACACAGCCATGACTGCTATAAAGCAGAAGCTGTAGATACACAAAGGAGCCAGCCGACTCAGCCTGGGTGGCAACTATAAATGCTGGCAGTGCTTCACAGTGTGGTTCTCGGGAAGACCAAGTCTAGTGCAGACAGGCTGTCTTCCCAGAAGGCTCTGGCATGGGGCAGGAACTTCCAAGTGCAGTTCAGAACAAAATCTAAGGCTCAGTGAGGACTGGCGATTGACCATCTTCAACTTCAGCCATTGAGGCAGTGAGTAAGTCTGTGCAGTTCAGAACAAAATCTAAGGCTCAGTGAGGACTGGCGATTGACCATCTTCAACTTCAGCTAGTATACCTTCTTAATACCCTAGAGATTAGTCTCATTTTGCACTCTTCAGCCATTGAGGCAGTGTGTAAGTGATGTTATACTTCCCCATCATGCCTTTCCCTTATTGAACCAAGCAAAATGAGAGACAACATCTCTGTAATAGACACATTACTTCTGCAAGCATTTTTAAATGCAGTTATTTTATATTCTGTTTGCTAATCCAATAGCTGAAGTCCTTAGAGATCTAACCATACTTGTGTTTATGCTGACTCGGTCACGTTAAGTTGCTGCTTCTCTGAACTTGAAATTGCTAAAATCTGGCTGATTTTAATATGTCAAGATCCTGAGGGACCCAATGGAGTATTTTCCCCTCTAGAGAGCGTTAGGATTTACTTCAGCCAGGAATCTGGGGGCTTCCAGCCTTGCAGCACTAATCTCCTCTCTTGTGCTTTCCCGGACCATTCAGGGAGGGTTAGGGCTGCATTTTCAGGAAAGCCTTTTTGTTCCAAGCTCAGGAGAGGTTTTTTTTGTTTGTTTGTTTATTTTTTGTTTTTTAATGTTCTCTTAGTACTCTCAGGGAGGTGCGTGTCCTTTTAGGGTCCTGGATGATGTAAGGATCTGTCCTCAACCCTTACACTGCATGTGCCAAAGACTTGTCTTTTGTTCCCAAAACCACGAGGACCTGAGGCTCTAGGAATCTGGTACTGGCAGATGTACCTAGGCAGCCTGTTGATTTAGTATGTGCTGTGTCACCAGATTTCAATTTCAATTTTTGGTCTCTGAACTTGGCTCTGAATTTTGAAATAGCTCATTGTACCCTTCCCAGCACTTCAAGGTATTTATACTGAGAGAGGCTCCAGAATATCGAGTACACCATACCTCCCCAAGAACTCCCTAGCACCCTGCATGCCTGGCCCACTGCTTGCATACCCACCAAGGGGAGAGTCTCACCGGCTATGTTGCCGAGTGCCCACACTGCCTGCTCACACACAGTCATATTGGGGGAAGACAGGAGCTCAGCAAGGGGTAGAATGGCACCCCCCTTCACAACTGCTTGGGTATCCAGTGAAGTCCCTGAAGCAATGTTGGTCAGAGCCCAGGCTGCCTCGAACTGCAAACAGGGGTGATGGGATGACTTCAGGAATTCCACCAGCCTGGGGATGACCCCTGATTCAACGATCATTTTGAGAGGAGGATTCTTTTCCTGGGACAGCATTTTTCTGTGCAGTGAAAGAGGGTGGAGACAGTCACATGGGGAAAGTGGTAAGAACCTCCTTTCTAGATGTTTTTGGCTATCTTGACTAACAGATGAGACAAATAGCTGGGCCAGAACTACTTAATATCCTTGCCCTGCCTGTAGCACTTTGCAGCAATAAACCAACATTTTGCCCTTCAGGTATTATCTTATGAGCTCAAATTCCTGTAGAGGCCAATGTAAATCAAGCAATTCATCTCTGACAACACATTGCATCTTTTAAATTGCCCTGAAGGACAGTGTAGCATAGCAATCTAGTCTTACTTGTGGATGGACTAGCCTTTTCCTATATTTCATGGGAATTTTTGCCAATGCCAAGAAACTAAACAGGCCTCTGCAGCTCATTTCTGGCTATAAACCTGCAAAGAGCAGAAGTTGGCTTGGTGATACCTGATTGCCTGGGTGGCCTCGAAGCATACAGCCAGATCTAAGCTATTCATGCCTTTGATTATTTCATCCAGTGTAAGACAGACCTACAAGGAGAAACATATTCAGGTCAAAGTCTCTGCCAAAAGGAAGCATAATCCTCACTTAGTCTACCCATCCATCTGATGAAAAGTTTGGCTGGAGCAGGATCTCCCATTGTACACGCTGGTCTGTATTAGAGGAGGGAAGAATACCCAGTGATCCATGGTTTATAGACCATAGTGTAACACTTCCTGTGTTTAGAGAAAGAGTAATTTCTATTTTAAATTTTATTTTTAAATTTTTTCCTAATACATGTTTGCATTACATAGTGATTACATTCATCATGAGAATGATAACACATCTTAATTCTTTTTACTTCTCTTTCTGCTTCCCTCCACCTCCTGGTAGGGAAAAAATTCCTACCACCTTTTTATCCCATGCAGTGAGAACATGTTAGTGTTACAAACTGGGTGTGGTAACACACACCTATAATGCCAGCATTCTGGGAGGATTGCAAATTCCAGCACAGTCTGGCCAATTTAGCAAGTGTGTGTCTTAAAATTTAAAAGGGCTTGGGGGGTGTGCTTAGTAATAAAGCACTCCTGGTTTCAACCTGTACCAGTGCAATAAAATAAACCCTACGTCCACTAATCAGAAGACTTAACACTGTTGACATGGCAATATTCTACAAATTCCTGTACAGATTCAATTCTATCATCATCAAGATCTAAGGTGTCTTTATTGAAGAAATCGACTTGCTTTCAGAAGCCAAGTGTGGTGGTACATGCCTGTAATCCTAGCACTCTGGGAGGGTAAGGCAGGAGGATTTCAAGTTTGAGCACAGCCTAGGAAACTTAGCAACTTAGTGAGACCCTGTGTCAAAATAAATGTATCAATAAACTTAATAAATATTAAAAATCAATATTAATTAATTGATTGATTAAAAGGGCGAAGGATGCAACTCAGTGTGAAGGTCTTGGGTTCAATTGCCAGTATGCAGCCCCACAAAGATAAAAATAAAATTCATAGGGAATAAAAGGATCCAGAAGAGCCAAAACAATATTGCAAAGAACAAAGATGGAGGGCTCACAATTCCCAATTTCAAAGCCTACTACACAGCTATAGTTATCAATCTCTGTTGTACTGGCATAAAGAGATCAATGAAAGAGACTAGAGACAGATAAACCCTTACAGTTACGGTCAGTTGATTTTTTTTGTTTTGTTTTGTTTTTTGTTGCGACAGGTTCTCCCTATGTAGTTCAGGCTGGCCTTGAATTTGAGGCACTTCTGCCTTGGCCTCCCAAGTGCTAGGATTACAGGCATGCACCACCACACCTGGCTCGATTGAATTTTTTGACAAGGGTGCTAGGACTAGTCAAAGGATAGAGAATATAGTCTTTTCAAAAAATGATGCTGGGACAGGTGAATATCCCAGGCAAAAGAATGAAGTTGAATTTCTTTTCACATCATTTATGAAAGTTTACTTAAAATGGATCAAAGACCTAAACATAAAAGCTAAAGTTGTAAAATTCTTAGGAGGAAACATAGGCATAAATCTTTGTATTAGGCAATTAATCTAGTATTCAGAATATAGAAAGAACTCCTATAACTCAATAAAAAGACAAATTATTTACTGTAAATTTAGCAAGATACTGTCTCAAAAAAAAAAAAAAAAAGGTCGAGTATTTAGCCTAGTGTTCAATCCCCAGTCCCAGGGTTCAGTCCCTGGTACTGCAAAAAAAATTACTTTATCTAGAAAATGGGTATGGAGTTTAGACATTTCTCCAAAGACATACAGAGAGGCAACAAACACAAGGAGGCTTGTGCATTCATCGCTAGAAACTGTTCAAAATCACAACATAACCTTCTGTGACCACTAGAGGGCCACACTTTTTTAAATGGACAATAACAGACTGTCACACATGTGTAAATACCTAATAATTTCTCTGGTGTGAAAAACTATAGTAGTACATAAGATCCTAATGATATCATTGACAATGTGAAATAGGAATAAAAGGGCTAAAGGTGTGGGGAAAGTAGGAGGGGTAGGGGAAAGGTAATAAGGGAAAAGAAAAAAAATATGAGAAAGTGAAAAAAATATGAGAAAGTGAAAAAAATGGAAATAAAGTGTTTGTAAATGGGGAGGGGAGGAGGGGGTGAAGGAGGGGCAGGGACAAGGGGAAAAAATGAGAACCAAGACCTGTCATGTAGAGGTACAAGATCCCAATAATGAATGTAACTGTACTGTATACCTAAAATGTACCAATAAACTCAATGAGAAAAAAAATGTGGAAAGTGTACAACAGTGCACCTACTTTGTAAAGTAGTTTGGCAGCATACTACTTTTCTGCTGCTGCAAAGATTACCATAATAATGGCTTGAAACAATATAAACTTAATCTCTTATTGTCCAGATAGTCTCAGAAGCTCAGAATTAGTTTCACTGGGCTGAAGTGAAGGTGTCAGAGGGAATCCATTTCCTTCCCCTTTCAGCTTCTAGCAGGGTCACCTGTATTCCTGAGCTTGTGCCACTCCTCCATTTCCAAAGTATGTCACATCTCTTTTTGCTTTGACTCCTCCATTACAAAAACAGCTACAGTTATGACAAGCTCACTCAAATAATCCAGGAAAATTTCCTGATCTCAAGATGCTTAACTTAATTACATCTTCAAGAATGCTTTTGTCATATGGCAACAGTCACAGGTTCTGGAGATGAGGAGATACACACATTTTGGGGACTACTTTTTAGCATACTATAAAGAGTTAAGCATAAAATTAGCTTAAAACTCAATAATCCTACTCCTAGATATACTGCCAAAGAAATTGAAAACATGGGCCCTGTAAAAATCTGTACCCAAATGTTAATGGCAGCATTGATTACAATAATAAAAAGTAGAAACAACTCAAGTGCCTACCACCTAATTAATGGATAAACAAAATGCATTCTACCCATACAATGGAATAGTGTTCAACCAAAACAGAAGGAAGTGAGGATGCATGCTACAACATGAATGAACCTTGAAAATTGTATGCTAAGTGGAAGAAGCTCACACTCACTAACCATATTACATGACTATCTATATAGAATGTCCAACGTAGGTAAAATCATAAAGACAGAAAGTAGATGCATCTTTGCTAGGGGGTGCAGAGAATGTGAACAATGCATGTGGAGTTTCCATCTGAGTAATGAGTATGTTCTGCAATGAGTTAGTGGTGATGGTTACACAACCTTGTAAATTAACAGAAACCACTGACTCTCTCTATATAATGATAAATTTATATATATATTTATATACATTTATATTTTATAAATATAAATACATACAAATATGTATATATATTTTTGGTACTGGAGATCAAACTCAGGACCTCACACTGACAGGCACTTGCTGTGCCACTGAGCTACATCTCTGGTCCCAAAGTGTATATTTTCAAAGAGTGAATTTAGGAGCCAGGCGTGGTGGTGGTGTGGTGGTGCACACTTATAATCCCAGCACTTGGGAGGCTGAGGCAGGAGGATTGCTGTGAGTTTGAGACCAGCCTGGGCTACATAGTGAGTTCCAGGTCAGTCCCAACAACATAGTGAGACCCTCCCTCAAAAAAAAAAAAATAAGTGAATTTAGGGATATATAAATTTTATCTTAATTTTAAAATAGACTAATATTAACATGCTAATATAGGATAAAGGGAAACGGCATTTTTTCACAGCTTTGTTTCATTCCTTCCTTAGTTGGTGGAAACTCTAGGGACTACTATGGAAGTTAAATAGATATATGGTTCATATCCCTGTGGCAATTCAGAGAATGATTTTACCCAATACACTGGATGAATGGTGATCTATAATTGGATCCACTTGACAAAATTGAACCAATCTGTCCTCCAAGAGCCCTACAAAGTGGAGGGTACAAAAGATATGTATGAATAGTAATGGCAGACAGCAGTGTGCTACAGGTGACCTATAAATACAACAATGTTGAAATTCTGAGAGGGAAAACTTCCTGGTCAGGGCATTAAGGATTCACAAAAAACAGGTCTGGCCTTAAAATTCACCCAGGATTTGCACTTAGTGAGGTCGGGGAGGATGGAGAATGGAACACAAAGGATAGCATTCAAGTCTTAGAAAAGGCTTGTGACGGGACCTGATGCCTCTACTAAGACAATCTCTGTAAATGCTCATTTCCTAAATTCCCAGTCTTAGGGTAGCAAGAGAATGTTCAGTTAGCAGTAGCACTCTCTCCACTTCCATTAGAACTTGGATCCTATAGACTCACAGCCAAGAGATTATGTGAAGACTCTTAGCTTTTTGACAAGGGCACTTGGGCTCTACCAATGATCTCTTCACTAAGGCCTTAAGTTAGAATCTGCAAACTCTGAGTCTTGAACACTCTAAAGCCAGAGAAAACCATGTCCTGACATACCCCTTTGGAAGCTAGGTCAGGGGAGAGGTAGGTGATATTCCTCCTCTTTAAAGCCTGCTCATCTTTCTTGGCCTTCCGGAGCTCCAGGCTGAGAGCCATCCTCTGTTGTCGCCTCACCTAGTAAGGAAAAGAAAACAATTGGAGCAATTAGATCCAGGGAACCGGAAAGCCAGGATGTTACCCCATTTGGCCTTTGGAACATGTTTCAAAGCATCTGATGCACTTTTACAGATGCAGAAGGCTGGGAGAGTTAAGATCACACTGTTAATCATCTCATCCCTATTTACCTCTTCTTCTTTCTCCTACTCTTCTACCTCTAGGATTCAGTCTTCTGCTCAGTGTAAAGGATGGCCAGTGACATCCTTGTTAGGCTAGGGTTCACAGCTGTAAAGGTATCTTAGTAAAGCATTGCACTGCACTGGGCCTGAAACCTCTTTGTTGATGTTGTTTAGTTCCTGAAGAGAATGTTTGCTTACTGGATAAGCCAACCCAGGCCTCCTAAATGAATGTTTTCCTAATTATCCCTTCATATCTCTTCACATCTCCACACCCCTCATTTGTTTGTTTGTTTGTTTGTTTTTGTTTTGAGAAGGATTTTTTGGTGGTAGTACTAGTACAGGAGATCAAGCCCAGACTCTACCCGCTGAGCTATATGCCCAGTCATTTTTATATTTTTTCTTTTGAGACCATGTCTTACTAAGTCACAAAGTTGCCCACACTGGCTTGAATTTGCGATCCTCCTACTTCAGAGTCACCCTTTTTTTTTTTTTGGTACCAAAGATCCAACTCAGGACGTTACACTTGTGAGGCAGGCAACAGCATCACTGGGCTAAATCCCCGGCCCAGATCTACCCTATTTTTGATATATTTTAGTCATGTGCAATTTATTTCACTGGTCATTGATGAAATGAGGCAGATACTTCATACTCACAGATGCATCTTTTCCTCGGTACTTAAATTTTTTCAGCCTCTCTTCTGGGGCATCCAGGGTGGGCATATTGACTAAAAGAGGAAAATCACCTGCAGGAGATTTACAGAGAGATTTTCATGCAGTGTATGTCAAAGTCATTACCCTTCTAGGGATCAGAAAGTAGATTCAGGAAGACAGCTTCTATGACATCACCATGCCTGTTCAGTAGGCCATGAGCACTGTAGGAGACCAGGTCTGGGGTGCAGTAGTTAAGGAAATCTTTAAAAAGCAAATTAGCTTGGACTGGGACAGTAATGACAAGTACAGGTTGGGCAGAAACAGGAGCCTTTCTTCAGGGTCCAAGGAGTTCTGTATACAGCACATGTGCTAGATGGGCAGCAGCCAACCAGTTCCAATGGGGACAGCCCCTTTCTCCCAGCCCAATACATCTCTAGCACAACCCACTGCTGAGCCTGTGGTCAACTTCCTCCACCTGGCCTAGGCCACCCTCACCTTCCATCCACCCTATCACACCTTGCAACTTGTCTCCCTGCTTCTACCACTGTATTTTCCTGATCTCTTCTCTATAAGAGGCCATAGGATTTGTTAAAGAAAACAACCTGATCATGTCACTTCCCTGTTTAACAACATTCTCCTGGCTGCCCACTGAGCTTAGAAGAAAATCCAAACTGCATCCAATGTCCTGCATGAGCCGAACCCAGCCCACCTTACCTCCAACAACTCTTTCTTGATCACCGTATACTGAACCCTAGGCTTTTGTCATTAGACATTTCAAGGTTATCCTCAGTTAGGAAACAAGCTGGCCCTCCCAGGGTCTTTGTAGAATTGGTTCCCTTTCATTCAGTCTCAACTCAAATATCACTGTAGAAAGCCTTTCCTATCTAAGTGTCTGAGTGTCTTCCTAATCAGTCAATTTTATTTTTTATCAGCCTTACCACCTGATACATATATATCTTATACATATACATATATACATATGTGTGTGTGTGTGTGTGTGTGTGTGTA